ACCAAATGCAAAAGGACAAATATTATAGATTCCATTTATCTGAGCTACTTAAGGTACTTTACTTCATAAAGATGGAAAGTAGAATGTGGTTTCCAGGGAGTTAGGAGAAGAGAGAATGGGGAGTTAATAGGAAGTTGGATACAGAGTTTCAGTTTGGAATAATAAAGTTCTGGAAATGATAGTAGTGATGTTGCTTAATAATATGAATGTACTTGATGCCACTGAACTGTATACTTTAAAATGGCAAGTGTTTTGTTATATATATTTTATCACAATGGGAGAAGATTTTTTAATGACTATGATTAATATCAGCCAAGAACATATTATCTTCAAAGGAGCCATGGTAAGAATTAACAGTTAATGTCTCAATAGAAATCATGGGAGCCAGAATAGAGAGGAACATCTTTAAAATTCTTAAAGAAAATAACTTCTGATATGGAATTCTGTATTCAGTGAGAATACCTTTCAAAAGTAAAGGTGAAATAAAGACATTTAAGGCAAACAAATAAGGAATGTATTGCCAACAGATATATATTAAAACAAATATTGAGGACAGACAATACCAAGGTCAACAAGGGTATAAAACCGTAAAGACAGGTTACAACTAGTGCAATAAGGAAAGAAAAAGATAAAATATATAAAATTTAGAAAGGAAGAAATAAAACATTTGCTGACTATGTGCTTGTGTACTTAGAAATCTAAAAGAATCATTAGAATAACGTGAATTTATCAAGGCTTAGAATTTATCAAGGCAAAGTAAATAAATAAAAATTACTTGTATTTCTGCATACCAGCAAAAAAACAAGTAATAAATTTTTTAAATGGTACCATTTGGTACATCCCAAAAAACATCAATACCTAGAAATAGGTGTAATGAAAGATATGTAAGAGCTCTACACTGAAAACTATAAATATTACTAAGATAAACTAAAGAAAATCTAAGTATGAAGGGATACAGTGTTCAAGAATTAAAAGACTCAGTAGTGTTAAGATGTCAGTTCTCCCCAAATTGACCTACAGATTCAATGCAATTTTTTCTTGATTCAATGCAATTTCTGTCAAAATTCCACCAGAGAGAGAAAGTAAGAGTGTGTGTATAAATAGACAACCTTATTCTAAAATTTATGTGGAAATATAAAGAGATAAAGAGTCAATCCTACTCTGAAGGAGAACAAAACTGGAGAACTTCCAACACTAGGTAACAATTCCTATTATACAAGTACTAGTGTAGTGTTGGCATAAGGATAGACAAATAGCCAGTGGAACAGAAGAAAATGAAAAATAAATTCACATATATGTCGTCACCTGATTTACAACAAAGGTGACACTGGAATGCAATGGGTAAAGGATGATTTTTTTTTTAAGATTTTATTTATTTATTTGACAGAGAGCAAGAGAGGGAACACAAGTAGAAGTGGGAGAGGGAGAAGCAGGCTTCCCGCTGAGCAGGGAGCCCGACTTAGGGCTCCACCCTGGGACCCTGGGCCCTGGGATCATGACCTGAGTCAAAGGCAGACACTTAGTGACTGAGCCACCCAGGTGCCCTATGGATGATCTTCTTAATAAATGATGCTAAGTCAGTTCGATATTGATATGAGAAAAAATGAATTTTACCTCTTCTCACACCATACATAAAAATCAATTCCAGATGGATCTTAGACTTAAATGTGAAAGGCAAAACATTAATGCGTCTAGAAAAATATATAGGAGAATACCCTATAATTTCAGGGTTGGCAAAGACTTAAAAAATAATAAAGCTCTAATTATAAAGAAAAAAAGATAAATTAGACTAAATTAAAATAAAAATTTCTGTTCGTTCAAAGACATCATCAATGTGAAAAGGCAAGCCACAGAATAGAAGACAACATTGCCCATTTATATATCTAATAAAAGATTTGATTCTGGAATACATAAAGAACTCAAAAAAATCAGTAAAAGTCTGCCAATACATTTTTTTTAAATGAGCAAGAGATTTGAACAAACACTTTACTACAGAAAATATTCAAATGGCCAATAAATATGTGAAAATAATGTTAGTCACCATGAAAATGCAACTTAAGGGGCACCTGGGTGGCTCAGTACGTTAGAGCTTTTGCCTTCGGCTCAGGTCATGATCCCAGGGGGCTGGGATCAAGCCGGGCATAGGCATGGGCTCTCTGCTCATCGGGGAGCCTGCTTCCCTTCCTCTCTCTCTGCCTGCCTCTCTGCCTACTTGTGATCTCTGTCTGTCAAATAAATAAAAATTTTAAAAAAATAAAAAGAAAATGCAACTTAAATCCACAGTGTAACAGCTCCAGAATAACTAAAAGGAAAAAGATGATACCAAGGTTAACAAGGATTTAAATAGTGTTAAAGAGTATTTGGTTCAAATTCCAGCTATGCCATTTGCTAGCTGTGTGACTTTGGGAAAACCACTTACCCTTTGTGGGTCTCAGTTTCAACATCTATAAAATGAGAATAAGAAGTAACTCATATTATGCTAAGCAAAATAACTCAATCAGAGAAAGACAATTATCATATGATCTCTCTGATATGCAGAGTTTGAGAGGAAGGGTGGAGGAACATAAGAGGTATGGAGGGGAAAAAATTAAACAAAATGAGACCGGGGAGGGAGACAACCATAAGAGACTCTTAATCTCAGGAAACAAACTGAGGGTTGCTGGGGTGGGAGGGAGGGATAGGATGCCTGGGTGATGGACATTGGGGAGGGTATGTGCTATGGTGAGCGCTATGAATTGTGTAAGACTGATGATTCACAGACCTGTACCCCTGAATAAATAATATATGTTAATTTTAAAAAAACTCATAGTGTTGTGGAAATGATTCATGTTAAGTGCTTAACTTAATCCAACTTGTATCAGCTTTTATATCATTTAATCCTCACAATAACCAGTATATTTAGCAATATATCATTACCGGTAAGGAAATTGAGGCCTATGGAAATAAATCACTCCTCATGGTTATTAAAAGATAAAGGGGTGAAATACTTTTCTATCTAAGCTCCGAAGTCCTTACTTTTAGTTGCTCTGCTTACTATCTACAGTTCCTCTCTTGGCAGATACGTAAAGAGAGTATTGAGTAGTTGCCAGGCACAAGAGTTACTTGACACAGTATCAAACTTCTCTTACAGCGGCTAACATGTATATTTATTGTTCAGACTCCTTACCTAGGTTTTGAAATTCTGTTGCATGGTCTGCTTGCCTGGATTCCAAGTCCTGCTATCCTAACCATGACCTAGTTATAGACTTCTTCTTTTTTTTTTTTAAGATTTGTTTATTGATTTTTAGAGAAAAAGAGAGAGAGTGGGGGCTGGGGGAGAGCAAAGGGAGAGAACATCTTAAGCAGACTCTGTGCTGAGCACAGGGACAGACTCGGGGCTCAATTTCACAACCCTAAGATCACAACTGAGCCAAATCCAAGAGCTGGAGGTTCAACCGACTGAGTCACCCAGGTGCTCCAACATAGCTGTGGATTTTAAAATAACGCTGCCTGGTGTCTTATACGATTCTTGGTGTTATGTTTGCCTCTTCCTGTCTATCTGCCTAGTTATGACTCACAGTTTCTCCTAAGTTAGGTCACAGCTCAAATGTCACCTTGATGATCATTGTAACATCTTCTAGTACTTTCTAGTACTGGAGAAAGTACTTAAGTACTTTCTCCAGTACTTAATCACAACCTGAATATATTGTCTTTCTCTTCCTCTCACCAAAAATATCATCTCCATAAGAGCAGAAACCTACCTTTGTTTTATGTTATTTTGCTGTTTTATCTTCAAAGCCTAGAAGAATAGACATTCAATAATTATTGTATGGATGGGACTTTGTGCCCCGACCTCACAACTCTTGTGCACTCCAGCTCAAATTTCTTAATATTTCTAGCTCTCAGCCTATCCTTTCAGAACTTGACACAGCTTAGGTGATTTCACTTAACCTCCTTGTTCATACAGCTAACTCACTTTTAACTTCTAGTCTAACAGTTAATGACAGGCTCTCATTCTAATGACCAAATTAGTTTCTATATTCCCTTTCATTAAAATGGAATTTAACTTTAAAGGGACTTAGCTATTTTTCATCACATCTTAAAAATAAAAGTTATTTTCTGTTTTAATGTCATAAATTAGTTATGATTCCTTATAGGATTTTGCACACTAATATTTTACTTCATTAAAATGAGGCAATAAATGTAAAGCACCTGGCATATGTGGTGGATACTCAAATGTTAATGATTCTTTTCTTTAAAAATTTTCATTATTAAAATTGCTTGTCTTTTTTAAAAAGTCTAGATACTGGAAATACTGTGGGGTTTGGTCTTATCAAGTACCTAAAAATTCAGACTTAAAGTTTTTAATTTTGTCCTCAACAGTAACTCAGGAATTGAAAGATATTTTTATGGCAGCAAAAATCACAGAGAAGGTAGAAATAATAGATATTTTAAAATAAGTTTCCAGACCTAATTCTTCTCCTGATGTGGTCCCATTTCGTTCTTTTTTTTTTTTTCTAGTTCATTGTTATTCAAAATGAAACTTATTTTATTTTGTTTAAATGTTGCACCTATGGATCTTTCAAATGGACTACATATAAAGATACTATATATCAGTAACTTACAGATGTAGGTATTATTGCAGTTAATCATATTTAATTTTTAAAAATTTTGCACTCTTCTGACAGGGATGTGGCTGAAATGCTGGAAATTATTTCAGTGCATAAAATAAAGAACTGGGTTTTCTGATACATGCTTTTACGATATGACCTACCATTATGAACTACTGAGAGGTATTAAATTTCTGTGTGATAATGGTTTTTAAAACATATGTATATGGTTTTGCTTCATAACTTTACAATGAATGTTTGGAGCTGTCTTAACTATGAAGATATCTGGCTTGACTGTGAAACAACTTTATGATAAAAAATCATTAAAAAATTAATCCCTCTTACACATGTTTGTTTCAGATGTCTGTATAGTACTATTTTATTCAAATTGTTTTTCTTTTAAACATTAGCATGTACACCACAGAATCACAAAATGAACATCTGGAGGATAAAAACACCCCATCATCTACAACTTCTCAGGTAAAAACCTAAAACTATTTTGTAATGTACAATATAAAAATCAATCTGATCTTAAAGTTTATTGTTCAAGTTTACCAGTTAGGTTTCTATTATTTGTCTGGTTAAAAAATGAGAAGGAGTCACTTAAAAATAACTAGTTTAAACAAGTACTAAGAAATGAGCAAAAGGAATGAAAAGATGGAAAGGGGTGACTAAACATTATTTTGGAGTAAAGAGTTCAGATATCAAGAATAATGGAAATATGGCTCATTATTTCTTGCCATATCTAGGAAAAACTCAATAATTTAGACTACAAGAGGTAAAGAAATTAATTAAAATGTTGTGTTATATATTTGAAAAGAACTAAGTTTTTATTTTTCTAAGAGTACAGAGTAAGTCATAGACCTGTTGGTCTATTTTACTCCATAATAATTGCTTATGATTAGAATTATAAATTATTACTTTTTAAAAATTTGTTTACTTTTTTAAAACAGTTTCTATAGTTCTCAAGAGCCCAAAAATTTCTTCTTTTAAATATTTAAAATATTCACCATTGATTCAGATTATTTGTCTATAAAGACTTTATCCTAGTCTATGTCAATTTGTTATAAATTCTGAAATAATAAAACTTAAAATAGTATGGTCTTACCTCATATGACCTTTGACCCACACTAATCAAAATTCATCTTTGTGTCTTTACCTTGGCCCTTGTGTATAGTGACAGATTTCCCACAAAAGTCTTTATACCAGAACTCCAACAAATTAATCACGATCAGATTTAAAGAACTTTGATATTAAAAGAACTACATAATTCATTTACATCAGTTGCTATGATGCCTTTGCCTCCCTAGTCATTAAATGTTTCCTCTTTGCTTCCTTAATATGTCCATGCCTCTAGCCTTTGTTACCATTTCTTCTGATAATCCAGTGTTCTCTCTCCACTGTACTCAAAGTATTATCAATACACTCAAAGTGTTGGACTGTGTGTACACATGCATACATGTGCATGCACACACACACATCATGGCAATGAGGCAAAACTGATGATTTCTATTTCAGGGTTAATGCTACTCTGTTTTGGTTTTTTTTTTTTTTTTTTTGTCTTGTTTTGTTTACCTTGGTAGAAACCTCTCAATATTCTCACCAACTAAGATGTCTTTTTTTTTTCCTAAGTCAGCAGTTTCATAATTAGACTAACTACATTAAAAGCCTGGAAGATGCAGCTAAACCCATGAATTACCTAAGGATGTTATCTATAATTAACAGTGGGAGCATGAACCTTAAATTTCTGAAAGCCTGATCTGTTTTTCTCATTTTTTCCAGTTATATAATTTTTCAAAGAAATGAGTCCAAGTAAAATTATATTTTACCTCCTTTCCAACATAGTTGTATTTTCAATCTACAAAAGTTTTATTAAATAATCGTTGGCAGTAAGACTGAAGAGGAACACTTTTAATTATTCTGCCTACACTATAGCTCACTTATTCAGTATGCATAAATCACAAATTGAAAATAGCAGGGACTCAAGTCTATAAAAGCTAAATCAAGGTGCTCTACAAAGTGCTCTCCTGTGACATCCTCAAATACCTATTGATATAGTGCATGAATATTCTTTTATATGTGTAATTCTCCAGGGTGACAGTAATGATATGAATTTAATTATGAGATTTGGTGGTTTTATACTGTCATAAAATTGTATGAAAAGTGTATTTCTTCAAAGATTTCCTTGCTTTACTTCAGATCCTCAAAGATAGTAGTATTAGTGAACATCAAGAAACTAAGGAAACAGTCTTGTCACAAACAGAGGAAACAAAACCACAGATGGAAAAGACTTCTTCTTGTCCTCCACAAGGAAAACTGAATAAATTTATTACAAATGGTATGTGAAATAAGAAATGTAAGTAGAGAGAAAACCGGAGATGTATTTGATAAATATATATTTTTAAAGATTTTCTTTATTTATTTGACAGAGATAGAGCACAAGCAGGGAGAGCAGCAGAAGGAGAAGTAGGCTCCCCACTAAACAAGGAGCCTGATTTTCAGGGGCTTGATCCCAGAACCCTGGGATCATGACCCAAACCGAAGGCCGACACTTAATTGACTGAGCCACTCAGGTGCCCCTATATTTGATAAATATGATAAATATTAAAACACGAACCAACAAAGCCACTGCTAAATCTATATATTTACTGTACACTTTAGCTATATACTTCAGTTCTTATTACAAGCAATATGTGGACAAAAAGGAAATATTTCCTTAACTGTCAAAAACTAATAATAATTGCTTAACAGATACATATTTTAATTTTTTCATGACTTCTTCTATTAAATCTTGGGGATTAGAAACAGCATGGATTAAGGGGTGCCTGGCTGACTAGGGCAGTAGAGCATCTGACTCTTGATCTCAGTGTTGTGAGTTCAAGCTCCACAATGGGTGTGGAGCCTACCTGGAAGGAAGAAAGGAAGGAAGGAAGGAAGGAAAGAAGAGAAGGAAGGGAGGAAGAGAAGGAAGGGAGGAAAAGAAAGAATGGGCATTGATTAAATATTTTTATTTAAACTCTACTTTTTTTTTTTTTCAAAGATTTTTATTTATTTATCTGACAGAGAGATCACAAGCAGGCAGAGAGGCAGGCAGAGAGAGAGGAGGAAGCAGGCTCCCTGCTGAGCAGAGAGCCCGATGTGGGGCTCAATCCCAGGACCCTGAGATCATGACCCGAGCCGAAGGCAGCGGCTTAACCCACTGAACCACCCAGGTGCCCCTAAACCCTACTTTTGATATTTAGTTTTTTAAAGATTTATTTTTGAGAGAGAGAGAGAGTGAGAGTGGGGAGAGGAGCCGAGGGAGAGAATCTCAAGCAGACTTCCCATGGAACCCAGAGTCCAATGTGGGGCTCAGTTTGACAACCCATGAGATCATGACTTGAGCCAAAATCACCAGTTGGACACTTAAGCAGCTGAGCCACACAGGTACCTCTGATATTTAGTTTTAAGTCAGCTGGAATGAACATTATACCTCTGGCAATATTAAGGTTCTTAATAAAATTAGGACCCAAATTTTTAAAGAGCTGCTGCCTTGTAAAAGATTGTATAAATTTGCTTTACCATTAAAATTTTAAAGCATCTCATTGTCATATATTTATATGTTGTCACCTAATATTAATAAAAGATTTTCTTGATTTTTTTCTAGATATTCTATATGATTTAACTTAGATTTTGGTCTCCATAAGTATAGAGCCTATAGAGAACAATATTTAGTTTAAAATATGAGGAACAAGTAACTGAAGTATTAAAATTTTCTTTTTTTTTAAGATTTTATTTATTGAGAGGGAGAGAGAGCATGCACATGCGCAGGCTAGGGGAGGGGAAGAGGGAAAAGTGGGGAGAAAATCTCAAGCTGACTCTGCACTGAGTGCCAAGCCTGACACAGGACTTGATCTCATGACCCTGAGATCACAACCTGAGCAGAAACCAAGAGTCAGACACTTATAACCAACTGAGCCCTCAGGCACTTCTAAAATTTTACTCTATTTACTGCTTGCTAAATTTAAACTTTTGAAACCAAATTTTACTAATTAATTTTTCCCTTAGTAAAAGTTACTTTTTAATTCACATCAATATATTTTTTTAAGATTTTATTTATTTATTTGACAGACAAAGATCACAAGTAGGCAGAGAGGCAGGCAGAGAGAGAGGAGGAAGAAGGCTCCCTGCTGAGCAGAGAGCCCGATGCAGGGCTCGATCCCAGGACCCTGGGATCATGACCCGAGCTGAAGGCAGAGGCTTTAACCCACTGAGCCACCCAGGTGCCCCTTAACATCAATATTTTTAAGGATTCTAAAGCTGAACTTGAATATCCGACAGTGAAAAGTGATTGGACTTCTTTGTAAACATAATTTCTGCACATAGATCTTACATGCACATTCCCATGACCATATACTCTGTGTAGTGGGCATTGTCTATACAGCAATTGTTAGGAGTAGGGTCAGGGCCTGTGAAGAGAGGAAAATATATTGGTCACCAAAGATTATCCACTGAGATTGAGAACTGCAGTTTGCTCAGGAACTAATTTAGGAGTTGTATAACACCAGTATTGAAACTACAAACATACTTGGGTTTATAACTGGTTTTCCCTTTGTTTGCTTTCATTTTTGATTTTTCAAATTCAGAGAAATTTATAGGAAAAGGATCTTCCATGTTTCTATCTTAGGGGATGCATATTCTTGTATTCTCTTTTTCTGTCTCTGTCTCTGTCTCCATCTCCATCTGTCTGTCTGTGTCTTATCTCTGTCTCTCTCACACACACAACTGTACACCCTATATTGGTGTACAGAAACTCTTAAAACATATTTTCTAGGGGCGCCTGGGTGGCTCAGTGGGTTAAAGCCTCTGCCTTCGGCTCAGGTCATGGTCTCAGGGTCCTGGGATCAAGCCCCGCATCGGGCTCTCTGCTCAGCGGGGAGCCTGCTTGCTTCTGTCTCTCTGCCTGCCTCTCTGCCTATTTGTGATCTCTCTCTCTCTCTCTCTTTCTGTCAAATAAATAAATAAAATCTTTAAAAAAAAACATATTTTCTAGATAATAGCATATATTCTAGATAATGAAGATAGAGCTGCAGTTTCTCTATAAATCATATTTAATTCACCAATCCCATAATGTATATAAGTTAATTTAGTAAGAAATCTAAACTCTCAACCACATGCAAAAATCAGTCTCATCACTTTTAATCACACTATTTATGTCTTTTATTCGGGTGGTAGCTTGCCTAGTACCAAAGAAATGGATATTCTAGGGAAATAAGTTTAGGTTTTAGGCTATTATTCTTTTTTTGTTTAAGTTTGCTTTCAATAAAGATACTTTGTTTTCAATAAAAAGTACTTTATAACTATTTTCATAAAGTTGTTTTTCCTTTAAATAAATGAAAGGAAAGCTTTATTGTATGTCCAACTATGACTTTTAAATAATCTTAGGGCCAGAATTTCTCCATTAAAATCTTATCATCAATGTTATGAAGTAAGCAGTCTTGAAAGTTTAGAGCTCAAAAATAATATCCCAGACACTTTGAATTTCTGGTCCAGCATCATCCCTCCACCTTAACATATAAAAAGTTGAACAAACTGAAAAATTAACAACTCTTCTTAGTTCCACCAAAAAAGTAAGGCTAGAGGGCAAATAACTGCCCCCCAAATTGGAGACAGCATGTGGATACAAAGGATCATAACTTATCAGAGCAGAAACCTCTGTGAGAACCAGTTCTAGGGTAGGTATACCTAAATTTTAATTGACAAATTGGCTAGGGACTCAGGGTGGATAAGTCTGACGGGGGTAGGCCAGTCATAGTGCGGGAAACACACTTTTGTGAGTTTTACCTCCAGGAGCCATCTGGCAGGCGGAGGGGGAAAGTTATCATATGCAGTTTACTAGAGCTTTCTGCTCTTCTTAAGAATACCTTCCCTCAAGAGAAACTGTTTTATCAGAACCTAACCTATGGGGATTTTATCTGAACCAAACTGACCAGGGAAAAGAGAAATAACCAAAACTTACCCCCTCTGTATAACCCCCACTAGCCATCCTATAAAACCTAATGGGATAGGAAAAAAAACAAAACAAAACTAAGAGGCATTTGTGAGGTTCATAGTGCAGGAGCAAAGGCTCACTAAAGACTGGTTCAACTCTATAGAAGTCTTCCCCTTCCCACACAACTTACCACTATATTACCAAAGGTCTTTTTACCCAGGACAATATATTCACTTTTAAGCAAAAATATGTAAGATGTATTTAAAGACCAAACAAACAACAACAACAACAACAACAACAACAAAACAGTTTAAAGAGACAAAGTATCAGTAGACCCAGATATTGCAGGGATGTTGGAATTATCAAACTGTGAATTTAAAAAACTATGACCAATATACTTAGGGCTCCAATGGAAAAGTAAGCATGTAAGAATGGAAGGGTAATGTAAGGAGGAGATGGAAGTCCTTAGAACCAAAAGAATGCTAGAAATTATAAAGAGTAATGGAAACAAATGTCTTTGATGGCTTCATTAATAGACTATACACAGCTGACGAAAGAATCTCTGAGCTTGTGGATCTGTCATTAGGAAATTCCAATGCTGAAAAGTAAAGAGGAAAAAAAGATTGAAGAAAAGGAACAGAATACACAAGAACTGTGGGATGAGTACAAAACATAATGGGATTAGCAGAGAAGAAGAGAAAAGGCAGCAGAATAAAGATTTGAAAGCAATAATAACTGAGAATTTCCCCCAAATTAACACCAGGTAGAAAACCACAGATCCAGGAAGCTCAGAGAATTCCAAGCAGGATAAATACCAAAAAATAAACAAACAAACAAAAATACTACACTTGGATATATCATATTCAACCTATAGGAAATCAAAGATTTTTAAAAGTCTTGAAAGAAGCTGGGGAGGGGGAACACTTTACTAATAGAGTAGCAAAGATAAAAATTATATCTGACGTATCTGCCGAAATGATGCAAGTAAAAAGAGAATGAAATGAAATATTTAAAGTGTTGAGACAAAAACAACACACCAGCCTAAAATTCTGTATACTACAAAATCATCATTCAAAAGTGAAGGAGAGGGTCTCTTGGGTGGCTCAGTCAGATAAGTGTCTGATTTTTGATCTGAGGTCATAATCTCAGGATTGTGAGACTGAGCTTCGCATCAGGGTCCACACTGGGCATGGAGCCTGCTTAAGAGTCTCACACACTCTCTCTCTCTGTCTCCCACTGTTCCTCACCCCCAAATTTAAAAAAAAAAAAAAAGTGAAAGAGAAATAAAGACTTTCTCAGACCAACAAAAATCAAACCAGTAAATCTGCCTTGCAAAATGTTAAAAGAAATTCTTCAGAGAGAAAAAA